TACAGCTGGCCGAAATATCCACTTGCAATTCATATCAGAGATGATTCAAAAACAAAATGTATCGTGTAAAAATGATCGAATTGACGAACAAATGTTAATGTTTACTTACGCGTGCACGGACACCAGTCGCGCTTGGAAGATACAACAAATATAGCGGCATGTACGCGCTGCGAGCGAGAGCATGTTAAGGGCTGAACATTCCACGAGAAATCTGCCCATCCCGACCGCCTTTGTATCTCGGGTACTACTGCTGACGACAACGCCGACCAGCGGCTGTTGTGCGTACTTGGGAGTCGAACTTGTGTCTCTGGAGGGTGCACAGACCCCACCAGTTATACATCTTCATACAAAGACAAAGATCCCATGCCTATGAACCCATCGTGGTTTTACCCCGTGTTCTTGTACAGGGGAAATTGAGTTTTCAGGTCCATACGGCGTGCAGCCGTTTCAATGCGGGCAACACACATGTGTCTATTTGTTTGTGTTTCTCCCTTGTGATGGGACTTTGTAAGATGAACATCGAGATTTACAAGGGCACGTGGTGACCAATATGGTCTGAATTGGTCTGTAATAAGGTGAGGGGTTGACAGCGATGAGATCCTCCAGTAGAGCCTAAACAGACTGTTGGGGCAGGTGCTGTTAGCGAGCACCTATGAAGGCCGACACGACACACGAGGGAATGAGTGGCCAGCACCACGCCGCCTTTATCTCCCGAGTCGCGATGTTTACACACCGCACTAGTTACTTATTTGAGGCTGAGTCGACCTACGAGAGGCACAGGTACGTCACTGGTGTTGGCCGTGAGTGGGAATCGAACTCGAGCGGGCCGTGTCGCATCGTAGCCGCTCCACCGCCGCTAACATTGACACCCACGCACAGGTGTGGGTCGCGGTCACGGGATGGGTGATGACATCATGGACCCTCGTTGTGATGGGCGGGTATCGGGGAGGTGATGGGTGGCGACGGCGTGTGTTGTGTGTCTGCTGTGTGTGGTTGGAATCACATTCAGGCTATATGCGCGTCTGTCTGCGTGCGTGTGTACGTAGTGGGGAGCGGTGGTGTAGCGGTTGGCGCGCTGCGCTACGAACCTGGCGACCCGAGTTCGATTTCCGCTCACGGCCAACATCGGTGACGATTATTTGAAACGGTACAGGGGCCTCCCCTAGGTCGACTCAGCCTCAAACGAGTACCTGGTGCGGTGTGTGAACCTCGCAACTAGGGAGACAAAGGCGGCCGGGCGTGGGGATGGTCACCCTCCCCCTCGTGTGCTGTGCCGGCCTTCTTAGGTGCTCGCTAACAGCACTTGCCCCTACAGTCTGCTCAGGCTATACGGGGAATCTTTGTCTTGCGGTGTGTGTATGTATTTCTCCTGATCTTAATAGGTGCTCGCAAACAGAACTTTCTCCAACAATCTTTACAGCACGGTTGTGTGTGCACGGTTGTGTGTGCACGGTTGTGTGTGCATGGTTGTGTGTGCACGGTTGTGTGTGCATGGTTGTGTGTGCACGGTTGTGTGTGCACGGTTGTGTGCGTATTTGTCTACGCGTGTTTGTTGCGGTGAGCAATAAAATGGATGGTAAAGTATCGTACTATATCAAGTTTCAGCAGTGGGTGTGTACGTGCATATGGGTAATTGTGTATATGCTGCGTATGTGCAGTATGTGTGTGTACGTGTGCGCGTAACTGTAAACATCGCCACTAGGGAGACAAAGACGGTCGGGCGTGGTGCTGGCCACCCCACCCCCTCGTGTACCAGTTCCGGCCTTCATATGCGCTGGCTAACAGCACTTGCCCCTACAGTCTGTTAAGGCTACACGGGGGATCTTTGTCTTGTATGCATGTGTGAAGTGCGTGGGTGAGTAAGTGGGTGGGTGAGTGAATGTGCGGGTAAGGAGATCGCCCTAATCCCGATTGGGGAGCGGTAGTGCAGAAGGTTAGCGCACCACGCAGCCGATTCCCGCTCACGACCATCTTTTAACCCGTCCTCGGCATCCCCCTAGATCGACTCAGCCTTAAATGAGTACCTGGTGCGGTATGTAAACATCGCCACTGGGGAGACAAAGGCGGCCGGGCCTGGTGCTGGCCACCCACCCCCTCGTGTGCCGTGCCGGCCTTCATAGGTGCTCGCTAACAGCACTTGCCCCAACAGTCTGTTAAGGCTACACGGGGGTTCTTTGTCTTTGTCCGTGCGTGGTGGATAATGAAATTCAAGGGTGCCGAAGCGCGCGTGCGTGTGTGTTCGTATGTGTGTGCAGTGGGTAATGAAATGCATGCGTGTTTGCGCGTGTGTACGTATTGTGAAGAAGACACAAGATTGCCTGTGTGTGTGTGTGCCTGTGCGTGTGTGTGCCTGTGCGTGTGTGTGTGTGTGCCTGTGCGTGTGTGTATTGTGGGGGAGCGGTGTCGTAGCGGTTAGCGCCCTGAGCTACGAACCCGGCGACCCCAGTTCGACACCCGCTCACGGCGAACCATCCATCATCCGTGGCGAGTTATACCAGAACCGGTCCGTGGATTCTCCCCCAGGTCGACTCAGCCTCAAATACGTTTCTGTTGGCGCGTGTAAATATCAGCACTTAAGAGACAAAGGCGGCCGGCGGCGGTGGTGATGATTGCCACATCACGACCCTCTCGTGCGCGTGTCTGCCCGTCTGTCTGTGCGTGGCTGTGTGTGTATGTGTTGTGTGTATGTGTGTGTTGTGTGTATGTGTCTGTGTTATGTGTGTGTTGTATGTGTGTGTTGTGTGTATGTGTGTTGTGTGTGTGTTGTGTGTGTGTGTTGTGTGTGTGTTGTGTGTATGTGTGTTGTGTGTGTTGTGTATATGTGTGTTGTGTGCATGTGTTTGTGTGTGTTGTGTGCGTTGTGTGTATGTGTGTTGTGTCTATTTGTGTTGTGTGTATGTGTGTTGTGTCTATTTGTGTTGTGTGTGTGTGTTGTGTGTGTGTTGTGTGTATGTGTGTGTGTTGTGTAGATTTGTTAGAGCGAGCGGTGGTGCAGCGGTTAGCGCACTGCGCTACAAACCACCCGCGTTCGATTCCCACTCACGACCAATGACAGTGGCGGATAGTTGAACCGGACCTGTGCCTCCCCTAGGTCTACTCAGCCTCAAATGAGAACCTGGTTCTGTGCGTAAACATCAACATTAGGGAGACAAAGGCGGCCGGGCGTGGTGATGGCCACCCACCCCCTCGTATGCCGTGCCGGCCTTCATAGGTGCTCGCAAACAGCACTTGCCCCAACAGTCCTTTAAGGCTACAGGGGGGATCTTTGTATTTATGTGTGTGTATGTGCGCGTATGTGCGCGTGTATGTGTGAGGGTGTCTCTGTGTGTGTTGAGGGTGTGCGTGTATGTTTGAAGGTGGCTGTTTGCGTGTATGTTTGAGGGTGTGTGTGTATGTTTGAGGGTGTGTGTGTATGTTTGAGGGTGTGTGTGTATGTTTGAGGATGTGTGTGTATGTTTGAGGGTGTGAGTGAGTGTGTGTGTATGTTTGAGGGTGTGTGTGTGTGAGTGTGTGTGTATGTATGTGTGAGTGTGTGTGTTTGAGTGTGTATGTATGATTGTGTGTGAGTGTGTGTATGTTTGAGGGTGTATGTGTATTTTGAGTGTGTGTGTGTGACTGTGCGTGTGTGTATGTTTGAGGGTGTGTGTGTATGTGTGTATATGTGTGTGTATGTTTAAGTGTGTGTGAGTGTGTGTATGTGTGAGTGTGTGTATGTGTGAGTGTGTATGTGTGAGTGTGTGTGAGTGTGTGTATATTTGTGTGTGCGTGTATGTTTAAGTGTGTGTGAGTGTATGTGTGAGTGTGTGTGCGTGCGTGTATGTTTAAGTGTGTGTGTGTTTGAGTGTGTGTGAGTGTATGTGTGAGTGTGTGTTTGAGTGTGTATGTGTGAGTGTGTGTGAGTGTGTGTATATTTGTGTGTGCGTGTATGTTTAAGTGTGTGTGAGTGTATGTGTGAGTGTGTGTGCGTGCGCGTATGTTTAAGTGTGTGTGTGTTTGAGTGTGTGTATGTGTATGTGTGAGAGTGTGTATGTGTGAGTGTGTTTGTGAGTGTGTGTATGTGTGAGTGTGTGAGTGTGTGTATGTGTGAGTGTGTGTGTGTATGTGTGTGAGTGAGTGTATGTTTGAGTGTGTGTATGTGTCAGTGTGTGTGTGAGTGTGTGTATGTATGTGTGTATGTATGTGTGAGTGTGTGTGTGAATGTGTGTATGTGTGAGTGTGTATGTGTGTATATGTGTTAGTGTGTGTGTATGTGTGAGTGTGTGTATGTGTGTGTATGTATGTGTGGGGAGCGGTAGTGTAGCGGTTAGCGCGCTGCGCTATGAACCTGGCGACCCGGGTTCGATTCCCGCTCACGGCTAACACCAGTGACGATTATCTGAACCGGTCCTGGGCCTCCCCTAGGTCGACTCAGCCTTAAATGAGTACCTGGTGCGGTGTGTAAACATCGCCACTAGGGAGACAAAGGCGGTCGGGCGTGGTGCTGGCCACCCACCCCCTCGTGTACCGTTCCGGCCTTCATAGGTGCTCGCTAACAGCACTTGCCCCTACAGTCTGTTTAGGCTATACGGGGGATCTTTATCTTTGTTATCTTTGTATGTATGTGTATGTATGTGTGTGTATGTGTGTGTATGTATGTGTGAGAGTATGTGTGAGTGTGTGTATGTGTGAGTGTGTATGTGTGTGAGTATGTATGTGTGAGTGTGTGTGTGTATGTGTGAGTGTGTGTATGTGTGAGTGTGTATGTGTGTGTGAGGGTGTGTATGTGTGTGTGCATGTATGTGTTAGTGTGTGTGAGAGTGTATGTGTGTGTGTATGTGTGTATGTTTTAGTATGTGTGAGTGTATGTGTGTATGTGTGAGTGTGTGTGTATGTATGTGAGTGTGTGTATGTATGTGTGTGCGTGTATACGGTGGGGGGGGGGAGGCGTGGCAGTGGGCTGGGCTATGACCGGTGCCCGGACCGTGTGAGTTGCGGCGCGCGCCGGAGACGCGCAGATGAAAGCGACTGTGGAGGCAACGGCTTGCTCCAAGGGATGGCGGCATCACTGCTAGGGGTGAGTGACTCTTTGCTCTCACCCTCACTCGCTCGCTCGCTCAACCCTCTGGGTCAGAGACCCCTGGACCAGCAACCGTAAACCAGGGAGCTGCGGAACGGCACATGAAGGGGTTCTGGAACGGAACAGGGATCCCACCAGAACAGATGGCCAGACGACCAGAAGTCAATTGCGTAAAATAAACAAAAAACATCTTTTACCTGGAAATGTTTAACTTATTTTTGCTTTGATGTACGTGACAAAAGTAAGGGATATTTCTACTTGCCTTGGTTTTGCAGCTCTCGCCAGGACTCGATAGCAGCAGGGGTTAGAGGGATCTAACACCACACATCGGGGATTCTGGTACAGGGGGCCCACACCAGAGACGAGGGATACAGGAGTCTAGAACAGGAATCCGAGGCTCTGGAACCTGGACTCTAAAGCCCAGACCATGAACCCAGCACTCGAGATCAGAGACCCAGAACCCGACACAAGTGTGCCTTTAGGACAAGTAACCCAAGACTTCTGGACCAGACATTTTGAATCTTATGGCTTAGAGGGCCCAACTTTGTGTTGCTGCAAGTGAATTTAAAGTTGATTTCGTTTTTGTGTAAATTGTTGAAGCGAGTGTTTGTCTAAGACGTGCTCACTGTGTGTTGCACGGCCGCTGTGTTCATACACAATGTTGCCTGCAATCGAAGTGTTTCCGTAATCATGCATGTAGACACATTTTGGAACATTAATTTAACCAATGGTAAAATAAAGGTAGTATATTGACAACTACTGATCTAACTTTTCTGTCGTACATCACGTGTGTGTCTATGTGCGTCTATTTCCGTGTATGTACATTATCATGGGTTCTTATGTTAACATTACTTTCTACCGTTTTCGTGTTAACTTTTTGAGAGTCCATCTCGACCGATGTAAATTCTCACAGTGTTCTAGCAAGGGCCGTGGAGAAGCTGACATTTGGAATCTGCACAGCTCTTGATCGGTTTCACCCATTGCGCAGACTTATCCGTAAAGTTCCACGTCGCTTTTAGGCTGCGGCGACTAAACGCTCGCACGCACACACGCACGCGAGCCCCGTATCGGTGAACCGAGTGTTTTGCATCTGTTCGAGTGTAAACGTTCGATCGGATAGAAGAAGGGCGGGCAAAGTCCGCAAACCGGTTGTTCGTATATGTAAATAAAGAGCAATTACAAATACGCTTTTTCTCGCAATCTGGATAAGGGGCATTGTCTGAAACGTCGGTTTGCTTCGTGAATATTCTTTGTCAATGTCGGTTGCGTGTTCGGTGATGTCAGCGGTGAAGTTGTGCTTCGCACGCAACCCACGGACACGACGTCTAATTAGTCGTGGTCAACAGCGCTTCATTGACGCCTCGATATTTTACTGGGACGCTGAATGTGTACAGAATGTCCGCGTACGGCACTACCACTGGAGTACAACATACGCCCATCAGTTATAAAGCCGTATTACTGTTTTACCCTTGATTCACGTAATCCTCCGAACGGTAGGTTTACACTAATTGTGATGACAAAACTAAAGTAACAAAGATGGATGTGGAGCAGCCAAACATAATTCCCGGAACGGCGTTTCCCGGCCGTTCAGGCTGCAATGAATGAGCGCCGGTTATACACATCCACACATCCACATCCACACGTAAACACACAGCAACAAAGACAAAGATCCCCCGTATAGCCTTAGCAGACTGCTGGGGCAAGTGTTGCTAGCGAGCACCTACGAAGGCCGGCACGGCTCACGAGAGGGGGGTGGGTGGGCCAGCACCACGCCCTCCACCTTCGTCTCACTTGTGCTGGTTTTTAATACTCGCAGCACCAGGTACTCATTTGAGGCTGAGTCGACCTAGCGGAGGCCCAGGACCGGTTCGGATAATCGTCACTGCTGTGGGCCGTGAGCGGGAATCGAACTCGGCACGCCGGGTTCGTAGCGCAGCGTAGCGCTAACCGCTGCACCACCGCCCCCTGCAAGTCAACACACACACACACGTAAACATACACGTAAACACACACACACGTAAACACACACACGTAAACACACACGTTAACACACATACGTAAACACACACACACGTAAACACACACACACGTAAACACACACACACACGCACACACGTAAACACACACACACGTAAACACACACACGTAAACACACACACGTAAACACACACGCAAGTAAACACACACGTAAACACACACGTAAACACACACGTAAACACACACGTAAAAACACACACACGTAAACACACGTAAACACACACGCAAGTAAACACACACACGCACACGCACATTTACGTATGTATTTTTCTGTTTCAGGTCACACGGTGTCTTTGATGAATGTGTTGAGTTGGGATTTGTTAATTGTGTTCGTTGCACCACTGCTAACGCAGCTGCATCGCCCAACTGTGGTGGCTAGGAGATGTTAACTACCTCGCCTGGTATGCAGGAGGTCGTGGGCTCGATCCCGACCCTGACGCCTTCGGTATATTTGGAGTTTGCGTGTCTCGCTCCCTGTGATCGCGTGGATTTTTTCCGGGTCCTCCGGTTTTTCCCTCCACATTTAGAGTCAACAGTCGCGCTATTTGGCTGCTATCCATGTCCCGTGTGCTAAGCCACTTCGTTGAGCTTTCATTTGTGCTCAGGTTGCTTCTGACAAAGAGCGAAATAGCTCAGTGGACCTTTCCTGATAATAAAACAGAAATAATTTAGTTTAGAAGTGTGCTTCTCTTTACCTATATAATTGCAATACGATGTGGATTTACCCCGCTGCGTATCGACGTGACCGCATCTCAAGTCGTTGTACATGAACCGCGGGGCGCAGTTATTTAATAGCGACAAAGATGCGTTTACGGCATCGGGCTATGTGTGCGTCTATGGCTCTCCGTGTCGAATCTGTGCGAGTGTAACACAATGCAGCGTTGAGTCTAGGAATGAAATCGGGGCGTGGAGTCGACAGCACGGGTGTCTGGGGAGAGCTCCAAACTCCGGAGCAGCAGAAGAGATTGAGCCGACAGAGTTTCGTACACTCCGTTGTCAAGAGTGAAGTGACCTCGTCTCGTGTGGAGTCAACGAGCCACCTCCAGTGTTGTATCTCTGTATACAAATAAAATACCTTTCAGTCGATCGACCTAGCCGCCATTCAGTCTTGTGTTAACCCTGGCAGCGCAAGTTTAAGCAAGACAGCTCTCGCTTTGACCTTCGGGGGACTCATCGGCGGAGCCGGTCTTGTTTCACTGCCCTAAAAGGGAAAGAAATAAAGAATAGGCGACGTTTCGGCCTAGGGCCCTATCTTTTTGTGTGTGTGTTGACATTTGTATTTATGTTAAGGCTATATGGGGGGGGGGGGGGTCTTAGTCTTGGCTTATTGTGTACCACTGACAACGCAGCATCACAGACACACGCGTTCTGTTGCATTTGCTCAGAGCGCGTTGGAGCCGAGTAGGGATGAACGATTCGGGGAAAATATCTAATTGAGAATTTTGTGACAGATATTTAGATTTGATTTGCGATTACATTTTTTAAAGTCAAGCGTTTAGTTCAATATTCTCTGTGTAATAGATTTAAAACATGTGATGGAGGATCACCACATGATACCATCAGAATATGAACTGCTCTATATATTCTAATGCGTGGATGAGAACTTAAAAGATATGAATTGTTTCCAACATGTATTTATAAAAAAATTAAATAGAACAATTAACCATAGAATAATCGTAAGTTAAATAAATTAAGTAATAATAATACAAATATATAACAATTACAATAATAAAGTAATAGGACTTTTCAAATCGCTGCCTCTGCGATTTTCTAATCGCATTGTTTCAAATTGCGATTTCGACTTGAAATCGATTACTCGTTCAGCCCGAGAGCCCAGGTGGCTGCTGGCGTCAGTCTCAGAGGGGAGATGTTCACGAAGTCGGAGCGTGCTCCTTGACACAGATAGACACGCACACACGCAGAATCGACGGGCATAAACGAACAGGCAGACGGGCATACAGACAGGCGTACAGGCGGACGTGTGGAAAGACGCGCAAACGAACAGGGCACGGCACTTATCTATTGAGACAGACACATTGACGGATAGACATGTACGTACAGACAAGACTTACGATGCAAATAGAAAGACAGACAGATGCGCACACAGGCAGGCAGAGTGGTGTGAATGTGTGAACGCTGAGAGACAGACGGAGCGATATTAACACGAACAGGTAGCCCGACAGACACATGCACGGACGGAGAGTCGATTTAAGGACACACACGCGCGCGGACAGACAGTCATATGTATATATATAAACATAGACACACAGCCATGCAAATAGACAGACGATAGATAATCACATGCAGAAAGACAAAACATACAAAGAGGCAGACTGGCAACAGGCGACACACAGGCAGACTGACTGCTGTGCGAATCTGAACTTGTCGAAGTCATCCGCGGAAAGTCCCGCTCGGAAAATAAGGCGACGTTTGACGTGCCTCAAAGAAGTCTGAAACATGCGACACGTGTTCCCATGCGTGCATTCATATGTGTAGAATAATGAACAGCAGCACCATGCCATTCACCAAGCCATCGCACTACCCACACACGTGTAGTAGTAGCGCGCATTGTGCAGGCACACCGCTTTTCTTACCCTCCACATTTTAGAATCAACATCCACGCGTTTGGAGTTTTTAGCCGCGAAAAATGTCCACGCGATCATTTGTGGCAGCCGGGTCGCTTCTGAAAGATAGCTACATAGATAGATAGCTCAGTGGGCCTTACCTGGTGCAAAACAAGTGTATTGTTTTATAGGTAACGTAAATTCAGCGTCGTGTACACGACCACATCATAGATATGCACGAACATACAGTATATAGTTTCATGAATGCAAACTCTTTATATTGGATAAATCCGATGTGCTATAAAGCTCTTTTTCACAGATGACCAATTGGTGCGGGTAAGAACGTTACAACAACAATCAGTACAAAAAAACACGATCGCGGTGCAACATACAATG